AAGTGGTTAGTGAGGGGTAATTAAGGGGACGGGTTGTAAATTGGGACAAGTTGGGATAAGTGGGGGTAATACTGAGTAGATACATTCTTAAAGTAGTTGGTGGCTTTCTACAAGCATGATGTTAACCTGTTCTAGCCAGCTCTTGACAAATGACACAAGGCGATTCAATATACAGGGTCCGAAGAGCAACACCAGCATGATCATTGCGAGTGGTCCAATCAGGGTAGATATCAGGGTAGTTAGCCATGGTGAATGGTTAAACCAGGATTCAAACCACCCTTGTTGGGCTTCTCTTTCCTTTTTCCTTTTTTCTAGACCTTCTCTAAGTTTGGCCATGGTATCTCTGACAACCCCAGTGTGGTCTGCGTATATGCAGCATTCCTCTCCTAATGCAGCACATACTCCGCCTTGCTGTAAAAACATGAGATCTAACCCTCTACGATTTTGTAAAACCACTTCGGACAAGGATCTCAACGATTTCTCTAAGGCACTTATCGATTGTTCAATTCGAATTAGGTCCTCGTCTACTGCTACTTGGAGGGAATGAAATTTTCGGTTCTGTTTGACTAATGAAGCTATTCCTGTCCCTGCCCCTGCGGCTCCCATGGCTATTAGAGTAGCTATGGTCAAGGCGGTAAATGGTTCTCGTTTCTGCATTCTATGAGAAGGCAATAGGGTTTGATGATCATATATAAATTCCTCAGGATGATATATGATTCTGGGAATGATCATTACTTGTATGCAATATTCATTGCTGGCACTGAACACTTTGAGAGATATGCACGGGGTAACTCCCGATTTCGAACATATCCATTTGGTGTTATGGGCAGGAATCAGCCAGTCAGCTGGTGGTCTCTTTTTCGGTGAGGTCTCATTTTTACATAAGTGCCTTTTTTCATGGGGTACCTTGCCGATACATTTACCTTGTCCCGACACATATTGCATCGTTATTCCCGGGTTGTTCTCTTTCCCAGTGTTCCATAGACATTGTTTAGGATTGGGCCCATTCGCTAATGTTGGCTCAAAGGGCATTCCTGTTGCTTCGTAAAAAGGGGGGCTTATGTCATAGCAAAACCAGCAATGTGTTGTTAGATTTGTATTTGTGAAATTTAGTATCTGATATGTTGAGTTCAAAAGATTCCACAGGGGGGGCATTTTGACTTCTAAAGTACTTGGAGTCTCAGTGTTTTGGGGAACCACATTCGCGGCATTATCTGCAATGTCATGTATTAAAGGCCTAGACGTTGGTGGATTAATGATCGGGTTAGGCCCGATGGCTTGAGATGGATGTGGCTGGAGTCTAATGATTTGTATTAGCACTCCTGAATCGGTGAAACCATTGTGGATAAATACTGACCATATTTTCCCTATACTCCAGGCCGTATTTTCTGATTGTTGAATTTCCAAATTTAAGTGGCTGCAAGTACCTTTTCGAATTACTATTCCATCAGACCCATATGTTGGGTGGGTGCACTTGTCTGGTACATATTTTACCCGCAAAAATTCATCCTCTTTTTGTGGTTTCCATCTATTACTTGTTACAATGGTCTCACAGCCCCAGTATCCACAAAACAAGTATTTTGGGTAGTTGCGGCAATAACCTTTGCCCGGGTTTCCATTGGGACACCAATATGTTCCCCATGGAAAGGGGGCTTTCTGGCAAGAACCAATGGCAGAAAAGATATCGCAAAGTTTGATTGTGAAAGTTGGGGCACCTACGGTTGTGTTGTCCTTTATCACTTGATCACCTACCGGGTCCTGTAGGATCTACCTGAATGGCCGATGGTGATGGTAATTCAATTCTACTTGCCTTATAGTGACAAACACCAAAATCAAAATCAGACAAAGGCATCGCAGCCCCCTCCCTTGGGGGCTATTTCGCTGCTGCTCGGGTTCCGCTGGTGCAGAGCTTCTGGGTGCGGCTGGGACGCTCGGTGGATCGTCGTTCTCATTTGGCAGCGGGGCGTATGAGTTACGAGGACGTCCGATGATGTGATCCTGTGAACAGAAACTCACAGTTTTCATTAGTTTTATTCTGGAGGTCTGGTTTAATGGATTTAAGAGGGCACCACCTAACTCTGCCATCTTTTCTAACGGCGGCATACCCTCGCCCTGTAAGGACTAGCCTCCACCCTTGTTCCCATTCTCCCAGTTCATTTCTGATTGTAACTGGTGGGCCTTCTTCTAGCACTCGAGTGGCCCAATGTGTTTGAGTGGGGCTATTTACCTCACCCCCTCTAGGGAACTGATTAAGTGCTAAAAGAGCGGTCGCCAGCAGGCGCGCTTGGTCTGCCGGGGGAATGGCGTTGGTGAACCCTTCTGTTTTTGCCAGCACCTCTAATTTAGATTTCAGAGTCTGATTTGCTCATTCAACTATAGCCTGTCGGGTGCTATTGTACGGGATCCCGTGTGTTAGGGTGATACCCCATTTTGAAGCAAACACCTGAACCGATTTAGAGGCAAAATTCGGACCATTATCCGTTTTGATTTGCTTAGGGATACCAAGCCACGCCATGGCCATCAGCCAATGTTGGATGGTCGCTTTGGAGTCAGTTTTGAGGTGTTGCGTGGCTACGATTACTCTGCTATATGTATCTACGGTTACTGCTAACCATGCTCGAGGTTTCAGCAACTGACTGAGCGTGGTTAGCAGTAACCGTAGATACATATAGTGGAGTAATCGTAGCCACGGACCAAGGAGTCTAGCACATGCGCGAGTCAGGGGCCATCCCAAAAGCCCGCGGCGCAATGAAGGTGAGGGCCGGCGCGCGCCGGCTGAGGTGGGATCCTGGGGCGTGGCGAGCGAGAAGCCCCGGGCGCACCACCGGCCCGTCTCGCCCGCGCCGCCCGGCTGGGGAGGTGGAGCGTGAGCGTCCGTGCTAGGATCCAAAAGATGGTGAACTATGCCTGGGCAGGGCGAAGCCAAAGGAAACTCTGGTGGAGGTCCGTAGCGGTCCTGACGTGCAAATTGGTCGTCTGACCCGGGTCTAGGGGCGAAAGACTAATCGAACCATCTAGTAACTGGTTCCCTCCGAAGTTTCCCTCAGGAGGCTCCTGTACAACACTCAGATGAAGTCAACTATATATGATTCTCAAGCATTGTTGGTGCAACATGAAAGGAGATACCTATTCTTGCGATGTTTAGAGCACTCACCTGGAATGCTTTTGAGTTGTCTCACCTTTTATAAGGACAGTCAGCATCATGCAAAACAGCATAAGGTCAAGGGGGTTTATGCAAGGTTTTTAAAACCTATGATAGAAGGGCAGCTTTGCAAATGGGGATACAAATGTTGTTAGGAAGCCAGCTAACTTAACAAATGGTGCAGTGATGCAAAAGAAAGGAAAAAGAGAAATAATAAGGGAAAGAAAAATATACATGGTTCAAGTAGAATAAGTGCAATAATATTGCTGCTACAAAATTAAAAATTAATTCAGAGTTCTGAACTATAATACTCTAAGGAAATAAAGTTACTGGAGACCTTTGGTAAGGACTTCAGGAAGAGCCACATCAAGAAAGTGAAACAGTACAGAAAAGATTCAAAGACATAGTACTGAGTTAAAAAGGTTAATTGCTAATGCTGTATGTGATCAAATCTGTTCTGAATTTTTTGAACATTTTAATACTTAGCAGTACAATGTTAAAGAGCTTTTGGAGATTTAACCCTGTGACCCTCAATTAGCCATTGAGATGTAGACAAGTTGAGTGAAATTCTGTCAAGATTCATGTATCCATTTACCCCAAAGGGCACACATACCAATGACAGGCTGAGCAAACCCAGAGCACACCATTTGAATTAAGAAGCCTGAAGCTGTCAAAGAGCTGTCTGTCCCTACTAGACCACCAGAGGCCATGATATCTGTGTATGCATCACGTTATTGGGTATACTTGACTGTGTAGTACATCAGACCTTTGTAATTGGTGTTTAACCTCAGTGCAGTCTTTTCCATTGTTACTGTTTTAAGGAAATGCATAAACTTTGCTGGTGCCAGTAAGAATTTTTTCGGCTTTTATTGTCTCTGTTTTAATGGTACTCTAAGACATTTTGTATGTCTTAACCAGTGACGTAGAAGTGCACACTTAATATAAACTCTTTCCATATTCTGCTCAATCTATTATGGGAAGAGTTTCACAGATTTATGGGTTTACAAGCTTATCAAATGGAAAAGGGGGAGAAGATAGGAAAAAAAACACTGTTTAAAAAAAGTTAATATGCTAAGAAATACAGAAGACAGGTGATGGCACATCCCAGTTGATATTTTCCCCCATCTGGAAGATGCTTACTAAATGTAGATAAGGTTTGTATTGTCTAAAGAGTATTAATTGTGAAACAAAAATCTATAACCTATATATAATGTCAAAAGTCTTCTGATTTATTTCTGTGGAATAGCTCTACAATAATAGAGCTTTGGTGGGTCACAAAAGCTTTAAGGTTATACACATCATAAATTCTACTCCCTATAATACCTGCAATAAAAGGTTTAAGCATTGAGGTGTACTGTAGCATACATGAAATTTCAGATGTTGGCTGAAACAGATTCATCTAAGAGGTCTGGGACCACATATTACACTTCCAACAAGGTATAGATTTAACAAGAATTTAATGTTCCTTAGCAAGTAGTTCTCCCCAAATTGGTCTCCTGTGCTTATTCTAACTGCCATTTGAGCTATATTTTGGGCCATTAAACCATGGGAATTGCTTTTCCCTGGTATTGAGGAACTGCTTATGTGAGGCATTTTAGAGGATAAATCCACTAACAGAAAATTATGGCGTATTTTATAGAAAATTAATTTAGTTATTAATTATGAGTGTGGCAAACTGCTCAGATTATTAATTGTTTGAAAAAACAGCAATCCTTGAGACTTACTGTGAAGCAAGAAAAATAGAAACAACCTATTTTTCCAGACACCTGTGCTTCTGAGAAATGTACTGTTATGGATTTCTGGGTGTTTTTGAAAAACTGCTCAATCCCAAACTGACCAAGACCACTTGTCTATTTAGGATTTTGTTATGGGTCTCTCAATTTTACTCCGAGGGACAGTACAAGAGAAACTGAAGTGGGCTTTCAATTTGTATGATATAAATAAGGATGGATATATAACTAAAGAGGTAAGGCCTACTTTTTACACTAATCACTGAAAATAGAGGTTGCATATGTAAGTCTTGCTTTCAAAGAGGAATGGCTTCACTGTCAGATTAAACAGATTAACAAATAAACATATTATGAAACTAGACATGCTAAAAATAAAGCAATTTTCTCCTTTTGAAAGCATATATAAAAATTGAAAAGGGGAAATCTTCACAGAAAATGTAAAAGGTCGTGGTACAGAAATGTTTGGCTTTAACTTATGCCTATGTACTTGCACATAGAGTCACTAGAGTAAATTAGTCTGGTAGGCCATTTGGACAGAAAAAGTATGTGGGGCATAACTGTTACTCATTTTATGAATCTATGTCTAAAAACTTTTATTTGAAACAAAATTTATATCAAAAGATTTCTACATATTTTATTCTGGAAGGATTCAAACATGTACTTAAATTACAGTGGGACCAAGTAAGTGCTTTCATAATGTCATGGCTTAAGACACACAAAAATAGAACTTTTTTCAAAGTGGGTCTTTATGTAAATATTATACTTATCATTTTACACTTTTAGAAAAATCATAATTATTACAAAAGGGTGATCTGTAGAATAAGTTCTCAGCATGCTGGCAGAAGACTTGTTTCTGTAATTATTCTAGTTTTCACAAGCCATTCTATTAACAAAATTCAAAGCTTTTGATATGAAAGGAAGACTCTGCTTATGTGCAAGTGTATGTATGGGTGTTGTAAGAAGCTGATGTTCTTTGACCATTCACTTGGTGTTACAGAACTTGTTCTGTTTAGTTTTCTTAACAAGACCTCAGGAGGTTCTTCCCACAATCCATTTAAAATCAAAATTATACATCTGCATGCATTTAAGAAGTATGTCTATGAAAACTGAACAAACATGCTAGAATTTCCAGGAACATAGTAACAAACTAGCTCCTCCTTGAAGCTGTTCAGATATAAAATAACAGGCACAATCTCAAATTTTATTCTAAAATGTAAATCCTAAAATAATTTGTGTATTCTGTGTTAAAGCAGTATCTACAGTGCACCTTATGTTACACAGACATATTGTTTTTTCTTCAGGAAATGCTTGATATCATGAAAGCAATATATGATATGATGGGAAAATGCACCTATCCTGTTCTGAAGGAGGATGCACCTAGACAACACGTAGAAACGTTTTTCCAGGTGGGTTGCGTAACACAGAGCCAAAAAAACAGCTCTGTTAGCAGGTATTGTATATCCTACCAATTTTATAATCCTTATACTTCTCTGTGGTTCTGTCCCATGTTTCCCAGATCTACACATCACACCTTGCTTTTTCAACAGTAAGCTCCTTAACGCTTATTCTACAATGTCACTTACCATAACTTTACAGCATTTTGGCCTGGATATTCCTTAGGCTGACATATAGCTAAAATTGATAATAAAAATTATTTGTTTTACACAGGATTTCAGGAGGATAAACATACATTCTTATTCTTTCTCAACAGAAAATGGATAAAAACAAAGATGGAGTAGTTACCATAGATGAATTCATCGAGAGCTGCCAGAAAGTAAGTACCCAGTGATAAGTACTGAACTTTTATCTGTTAATGCTGTCAGATGTATCATAGCGCTACACAGATTTCTGGAGTGACAGTGATGGTAATCCTAATAACCAGAGGCAGTATTTTCCCAAGGTATAGTATGTATATACACCATTACAGAAAAACACTAAACAATCTAAATAAATTAGTGTCCCAAATCTCTAGAAGAAATGCTATATGCAAACTGTCATTACTTACGGGAAAACTGTCTGCATCCCTGGTCTCTTTAACAGTGCTTTGCTTGTATTTGATGGCAGAAGGTTTCTTCACATTCAGATAAATATTTATTTCTATCTTCTGCCCATGCTGGGGAACACATCCCTCTTACAACTGGCATACAGGCATAGCAATAATAATAATATTAATACTGCTTGAAAATTGGTCATCTATAGGAGTTTTCTCCACCAGCAAATCATGACATGCTGGAGGCCTTAAAAAGCACGAGTGCAAGGAGCTTGCAGTGTTGGATGGCAGGAGTTAACAGCAGGCAAGTTTTGTCAAGGCAAGGGAGTGAGAGCTGTGATTATCAGTTGCAAGTGTTTACACTACCCAGGTGGCTGTTAATTTCCTTCAGCTGCTGAAAGCAGCTCCTTGCCTTGAGCCAGGAATGAGAATAAACTTCTGCAGCAGGAATTGCTGCCTGTTTTTGCTCCTCTGCCCTTCAGAGACTAGCCTACACTCAGACTAGGAGACGTTATAACGAAAGATAAGTTGTATTTTCCGAAAAGTAAGGAACTACTGCTAATTTGTCAGTTAAAAATGCAAGAAACAGGATACAGTACAGAATAATGATGATGACTCTGGTGTGATAAGAGGTTATTAAGTACTGTAAATTGTCATGTTAGATCCAGTGATAAAGTAATCATACGTTATCAAAATTGATGTAGTAAATAAACCCAATACTATTTGTAGCAGTGATAAATATAAGGAATCATTACAGTGTTCTACTGATCCCTTTTCCAGGCTGACTGATTAACATAAAGCTGACATAGACCAGCAATATGGCTTCTGTGTGTTGCTTAACTCCTATACGGAGAGTAGTAGACAAGAGACAGGAGAGAACAAGACTAGCAAGATAAATACAGTTAGTGAGTGATAAGATTTTTAACAATTTGTAATAGGGAAAGGTGAAAAGGAAATAGAAAAGAAGCTCTAGAATTGTTCTATTTTTGTATGCCTCTGTAGTTATTCCTTGGGGTTGCTCTCATGAGCACAGCTGCCTAGCAAGTGATTCTGTTTGATTTTAATCTGCTGATTTGGGGGGATGAAAAGTAAAAAACAGCTATTCTGTGGCTATTCTTTATACGCTTAGCAATTGGTACTGGGTAATGTCTTGACTGTCAGCAGTGCTCTGCTGCACTGGCTCTAGCTGGTCAGTCTTGTTCTTGCTCTGCTAAAGCTGAGTGATCATTAGAAATGGAGAAGAGATTCATTTCCCAGCTGAGAGTCTGCAAAGTTCTGGAAGTTAAATGACAGATTATGCTGGATAGGATAACAATTATGGTGATGGGCTGAGTGATTCATTTATGAAGAAAATTAGTACCTTCAGTAAGGAATTGCCTGGTCTCCTTTTCCAATGTGGTTCGACAGGTTCTTACACCTGTTAGATTTCTTATTTACCTCTTCTGAGTATTCAAAGTATATGTGAGAGATGTTCTCTAAACTGCTACATGAAAGAACTTTCTCATCATGACACTTGCCTCCACTTGCTTTTAACTTCAAAGGTGGCAATATTTTTTGATACAAAAGTATCTCACTGCCTAAATTTTTATTTCTCTACCTACTAAGACCTGGTCTTCTATAAAGACATCTGAGCTGCAAAGTGTGTAATTCATTCTTGTATCAAGACTTGGTTGAGAAATGAGATTCGGGGTTAGGATTCAAGCTGAATCCTTCAAGAAACTTGATTCAGGTGTTAACGTGACTTCAGCCATTTTTCACATTACATTTTTCACGAAGGAGAGTAGTGGCTGCTTTTTTTCTTTTTTTTAAACACAGCTGTAGGAAAACCTCTTTTTAATATCTTAATAGGTACAACACTGACCTAAAAAGGTCAGGTTCATGTTTCTGTCTTGCCTCAGCATGCAGTGAGTCACACCACTCCAGGAGTGAGGTGTCTCGTCTTTCATAAGGATTTAATAATGCCAAAAGCAAAATTAAATGATCCTGTGATCCGTCCTGTAGTAAATCTGCCTGTGCTTTAGACCTACTATGCAATATTTTTATGTTTTCTATATGTTCTGGTGTTATGTAAGATAGTGCTTACTGTTATTGCCCTTCACTCAGTATCTTTTCTGAGCTCTACTCATTTGTTCAAGCTTTCCTCCTACGGAAACTAGCCCACACTCTTAATCACACAGCCCTCTCTCTACACCACTGCTAGTTCTATCAGCTATTGCTTACCAAAATCAGGATGTTCAGGACAGTGGCACAGCACATCTGCTGCTCTCTAGGCTTTGACAGCTCCGGTGGTACTTTATAAGAAAGGCACATGTGTGCATGATATTCAGATATGCTCTGTTGTGTCCCTTCTTGCTCTTAAAGTAAACACACTCTAAATACAGAAACTTCACTTCAGGTTCCTGGGATAGATTCTTGAGATTTTTTTGCAACATCAGGAGTCTCTGGTGTGTTCTTAACCACTCATACACACATGTGCCTTTCTAACAAAGTACGTAGTACTTTGTGCTAAGTACTAGTTTGGCACAGCTATCACTGCAGTAGCACTGTACAGCCTGAAGTATACAGCAAGTTCAAGACTCTTAATTCATGATCCCAATATAAAGAATGGGCTGTCCACTCACAGAATGTTAAACAGCTATGTAGAGATTTACAAATCATTCAGGTTTTGAGCATGGTCGTCTCTGGTCACTGGGTATAAGGACCACTCTTTGCCCACAGTTAAGTGAGGACAGCAAAAGTGCTTCCCCTAATCCTCCCTCTATTAGGACAAGGAATGTGTATGACCTGATTTCCCTGCCCTCCCTACCCATGTGCTTGAATGCCAGTCTGCCATTCAGACTCCAGGAGTCTAGCTGCTCCCACAGCAAAAAATGGCCCTAGGTATGCTAGACTGAGCCCCCAAAAGCAGATGCTCTATGTCCTGCTTTGTATAAGGTACCAAAGAGCAGAAAGAGTTCTTGGGAAACAGTAGTTCAGTAACTTGAGGGTGAGGTGCTCCTCAGTTCCCCACCTTCCTCCTTTCACTGTTTGATACTGGTGGAAAATGCTCTGACTCAGGCATTGCTTCCTATCTACAGCAGCACTACTACAGAGGCAAAGGACTATGGCATGTGTGGTGCATAGGTGAATGTTAGGTTGAATGACATAAAGGTCTTAATAATAAAAAGGCTTCTGGGATAGATATTTTCTGCAGGAGTAAACTATTCCATACAAAGTGCTGATGGTCTGGGCTAGCCTTAAAACAACAAACAAGCAATCTCAAACTTCACTAAGGAAAACTTCAATGTTGGCTTAAAGTTGTGTCCAACCTAGCAAAGTTCATCGATCCACTGAAAGATAAATCTTTTTTTACAAAAAAAAATATTTTTGCTGAGTTAGTTACTGATAAAAACCAAGGTACACAGCGATGCATTGAAAAGCATTATGAAGAACCTGGGTGTCAAAGGGTTTGTTACCTACCTAATGCAAAGTAATCAGAAAGCAGAAGTAGCATGGGAAAGCAGTCAACATCTTTCAGTGTGAGCACACAGAAAATCTTAGCTGAGGAGTCAGTGTTGTGATGGAATTGACTGACCCTTCAGTTTATGCAAAGATGCACATTTAGATCTATTTGAGTCACCCTTGCTACGTAACAGAATGCACTAGATTTGCAAGAAGGCTCCTGTGTGCAATACACAGGATACACAGACACTTCAGGTACAACTATTCCTTAAGCATTTATTGTCTATATGTGTTTTGTTATACTGCATATAAACTTGTAACCTCCAAACTATTGCAGACTTAACTGTCATAACATGCTATTGCATTCTTGATAGTTTTCGTTTAATTAATATATACACAAACCTATTTAAACATAGATCCATTAACAGCCTTTTTCTCCTAACCATTTCTCCAAACAAGCTCAAAAATAGTGTTAGCATTAACTAAAATACAGTTAGTTCTATCCCATTTCACTACAGATAATGGCCAACTATATTTGTAATGGTGTATGATTTTTGGTTTATTGTTGTCTTTTTTTCCAGGATGAGAACATAATGCGATCCATGCAGCTCTTTGAAAATGTGATTTAATGAAGACATTAGGTCTACAATTAATGGACAAATATGAGTTATTCTGCAACATTATCTAAAAGATGGATTTCCAGTTTATCATCAATAAAATTACTCAGCTTTACAGAGACATGTATTATGCAAATATTTATTTTATTATAAACTTTTCCCCAAAAAAATATTTTTAAATTATACAATTTAGCACTTCAGCAGTGGCTAGTTAGTTAATATGATTGCTCTTCAAAGTCATGTTTTCACTCCAAAGCCAAACAAAATAAGACCTTACATTATTATAATTCCAACACATTGATAAAATGGATACTGTGACAAGGAGATTAACTAAATATTCTAAGTTTTGCTAGTCATTTGTATTGGATTGAGCTCCAGATGTCTGAGTGTATTTCTCAAATAATAGCTTCTAATTTATACAGAGGCATTACCATGTTTATTTTTTTTTCCGCATTTGTATGGTGTAGTCCTTGTTTTTTGAATAATACTTTTGAGTTAAAGTGCTGTACTCAATGTGCAATGCACATCATGCTGCTATTGCCTTCCACCTTTGACTTGCTTTTCTATTAAAAAAAACCCTCCAAACCTAAGGAAATAGGTAACTTGAAAATAAGAATTGCTGGAAAACAAAAAAGACATTGCTTATAGGTAGATATACTCCTTAAGAAATATGAGTAAGCTTCTATCAATCACACTTACCTGATGCATCTGCATTTAATTTATCATGAGAGGAGTCCTACATACTGTATTTCTAATTCTTCTTCAATGTGTCTGCAAAGTTCTTTGCTTAAAATTAAGGATCTTCCAACTTCAGTTTTTCAAGAAGAAACCCAAAACTGTTTTCATAAGTATTTGTATGCGTCTTTCTGCCTTTAATTAAGAAAAAGGCATGAACTTTGGAATCTTTCATCCTGCCTCAGTGCTCAGAATGAACATTACTATGTAGTAGCATATATTAATAATGACTGACTGCTAGACAGGCTAGCATCTGTATCAACTTTCTGCAATATCTTCAATTATGAGACAGAATCAAGAAAAAATGGGAAACTTCAGCTATACAATATCATCTATGTGTAATAAATGCATTACATTTTTTTAGGATCACATCTTCATTAAGATTGGAGCTACATTAATTCTGAACCTGGAAAGACTTTTCTATAAAAATATGTACCTAAATATAATACTGCCCCCCATCCATGTAATTTTTAAGATATACTGTCCACAGAGTTTTCTTCAAAAGAGGTGAAATGCTATCAGATATAGGCCAATCTTCACTGGGACATTGCTGCAGAAAATGAGAAGGGGGATTAATGAAATAGAAAGAATGTTGCAAGTGCATTCTTTGGAAAAATAAATCAGGTATCTATTCTGGTGTAGAGATGGGATGTTAGAGGAATGTTGAAGGCTGCTCTGCTATCACCAGTGTAGGATAAGAGTAGTACAATACATGTACACCTGAAATCTGCTGTAGTGTGTTTGTGTAAACTAAGTGTACACATTTTGTTAAAAAAAATTAATAAAATAAACATGAAGAAAAATGAGCAGCATGATCGATTTTTTTTTTAAGTTGTTAAGCAAATACTTTTATTTCTTCAAATTAAACATTTTTGCCAAGAAGATTAATTTTTTTAAGAGGCTTAAATACATAGATCTTGCTTTTGCACAGTTCTGATCTTAGCACGGTCCTGAAGTAAATTTAATTTAGCCAAGCAGTTGGAACAAGTCCAGAGAAGGGCCATGAGGATGATCAGGGGACTGGAACACCTCCCGTACGAAGACAAGCTGAGAAAGTTGGGGCTGTTCAGCCTGGAGAAGAGAAGGCTGCGTGGAGATCTCATAGAAGCCTTCCAGTATCTGAAGGGGGCCTATAGGGATGCTGGGGAGGGACTCTTCATTAGGGACTGTAGTGACAGAACAAGGGGTAGCAGGTTAAAACTTAAACGGGAAGTTTAGATTGGATATAAGGAGGAAGTTCTTTACTGTAAAGGTGGTGAGGCACTGGAATGGGTTGCCCAGGGAAGTTGTGAATGCTCCATCCCTGGCAGTGTTCAAGGCCAGGTTGGACAGAGCCTTGGGTGAGATGGTTTAGGGTGAGGTGTCCCTGCCCATGGCAGGGAGTTTGAACTAGATGATCTTAAGGTCCTTTCCAACCCTAACTATTCAATGATTGTATGATTCTATAAGCAGTGGTAATTTAAAAACAAAATTTAAAAACAAAATCTGAACTTGCTTTCATATGTTCATACAACAAACTTTTTTAATACCATATGAAACAGCATCTTCTGATGACAAAAAAAAAAAAACACAAAAAAACACACACACACACACACACAAAAACAAACAACAAAACACAACCTTTAAAAAAGAAATTTAAATTCTGGAATTTAATTTTCCTGAGGGGAAAAAAGGTTTTGTGGTGTATTTTGTTACTCAGTCAGCTCTCACTCACAGAGAACTCTGAATGGTATTTATTACAAGACCTGTTACGAATTATTTTATCCAGTTCAAATATGTTCATGGAAAAATGCTGCCCCTACAAGGCTTGACAGCCAGGTAAGCTGACTTCTGCAGTCTTTTTATTGTCTTCAGCTCGGGGGGGGCGGGGGGTTATATCTTCTACATTCAGAAGTGTATTCAGAAGCTTGTCTGGTGCTGAATTCACACGCTGGTCTTAAGCCTATCTGTGGCATTACAGAACTCAATGCAAAGGGCACACACTGTAAATACTCCAACGTTGCCTGATACATCTAGCTTACATTCAGAAGACTCAAAGCTACCTGGAAATAATTGGTTGAGCAAAACCTAGGCTGTGGCTCTATGGAGCAACCTGATGCCTCTGCACTGTGTTCTCCAAAGCTCCAGCTTCTCAAAACAATGTGCTGAGAATGCACTGAGCAAGTTCAGTTTTGCACTGCATGCTACCTGTTTAGTCTAGTCTCATTCATACCTTTAAAAGCTGACTCTCAAGAAGTCCAGATGATTTCTCATAGCTCTACATCTAACTCAGTAAGTCCTGATGAGCCCAAAATGCATCAGGTCTGCCTGCAGCACAAAATAAGTGGGTGTACATATATAACACTAAGATACTATTTTAGTAATTAAAGCTAAATTATTTTGCATCACACATGTACAAAACATTAAGAATTGCTGATATATTAAAGGACTGTAATTTACAATAAGATAAGAATCGATATTTACTCCGCTTTTGAAGTAATAGACAGTTAGTTGATGTCATTGTAAGCACAATGCATATGCAAACAGCAGCCAATAGAGAGACCTTTTTTAAGTAGTCTTCCATAATTACATATTCATAAATTGATAGGACTTTTCCCACTCTTCATCATACTGAGGAGTTGTGATTATTTGAAGAGATTATATCATACCACAAATAAGTGTCAGTGACATTCACAGGCAGTTTCTTTCCAAACTTCACCTTACAGTACAAATTGCTACAGTTTTCTTGTTCAAGAGGAGATAGAACAATAGGTTGGAATTTTAGATTTGATGATAGCCGTAGTTGCCTGTCGAGAAAATAAAACAAATTGAGACAAGAAGCACTAGTACTACATATGACAGTATTCATATAGTCTCTATAAATTGTGTAATTCACAACTTTTACTTAGTTATCTTCATTATTATCAAATCATAAAAAATGGAAAAGTTGCTATTTGCTGAGAAATTTACTGTCAAAAATGCTGAAAACAATGAACTGAAAAAATGGACCACTGTGATAGCTAATGCTGGAGAGTAAACATCGAAAAGATATGCAAATTCATACCTAAAACTGGGCATAAATACAGACATGAAATAATATGGATTTTTAAACAGCGAAGTAATACTCTGGAAAGGCCTTCCAATAAGAGTAAGAATCATATACATTATAACACATGTAGAACAGAAATTTTATAAATTCATTAGTTGTATTATATAATATTGAGTACAATCACAACTCAGGAGTTTGTTTCCAGTTTATGTTTTATTTTATTATAGTTTTTTTTTTAAAGACTTACAGAAAGATCTACTCACAAAAATGGTAAGACTACAATAAATCAGCAGACAGAAGAATTCGAAGTCAGTGATTCTCTGGATTAGTTACATTATCTAGAACTGAATTTTCAGATCATCAAGATGAGATGTAATTTTCCTTTTCTGGTCTCACTTCATTTAAATAAAAAACTCTCATGCTGCTTTATTTGTTGTGATGTTTTTCCGGTCTGTAATACAACACTGCTTTTGCTCTTAAATGAACATGAGAACACACACACACACACACGAAATGAAGTACAAGCTTAGAACTGGTAGACCTATATTTATGGTCCCTACTCTTTAGGTTATTCCTATTCTTTACCAATGACCGTTTAATATAATACATGCACGTGTTCATAGGGTCAAAAAAAGCCAGTATTTTATCTTCCGCATGAATATCCAAGCCAGTACTCTCTTCTTTCTTCTCTCTTTGCACATGTATAACACAACAAAAAATGGCAACATTGTTCAGCAGAAAAATATTCTGGCATCTGCTACTTAAAAGCTTTTTTTATATATATTTTATTTTTAATTTATAGCAATTGTAGATCTAACCTCTAGGTTAACCAAGGTGGGTTGGAATGTGACTATCTCATTTCCACAGCAAGTGACCTCCATAATAAGCTATTAGTAGGAATGGTCAGGCATCATCAATAATAGCAAAAAGTCTCTTTTAGAAAGAGCTGAGAAAGTATGTAGCCTCACAAAAAGAAAGGAATGCATAGCCTGAATCCAGCCTGACTCAGGGGTCAATATTCCAGACAGGCAAGGAAGCTATTTACTAGTTGACATTTGGTGAATTCCTGAATCATTCTTCATAGGCAGCTAGCCTACCCTATGGACTGTACAAGGAGCTCACAAGCTTTACTCCTCAGCATAAGCATTAACTTTCTAAGAAGTGTTGCAATGCCTTACTTGGAGTAAGGACTTAGGCATCCTGGATCTTACCCCACACAACTAACCCGTTTGTCACACCAGTTCAAACCCTGTGGGAAAAAAAATCTTGCTAGAGAAAAAGAGAGTTTTCATGAAGGAGCAGCAAGTATTTCTTTTAACTACTAAGTTTGTATAAACTTCCCACCAAGGACAATAAAATGTTCCAAGCAAATATCATAGGCAGGAATTCACATGTATGTGCATTTGTTCCAAAAAATAGAGGTCTCCAGAATGGGGCTTGGTGTGCTGTTCTGTAAGAGTCCAGCCATACAAATTCCTATGTATGGATGGATCCCTTGGAATATTTTACTGAGACATTCTCTTGAATTTCCTGCTCAGAGATTAAAACAATGGAAAATACAAATGAAAAGTGAAACATAAATAATGGGTGACAACAAAGCCTAACTGTCAGGATATGGATTATCCAGACTAGACTTAATGCCATTTCTGCTACCACTCAACATATCAACAGACTAACACACCTCTTTCACTATGGACAACACACTGGAACACAGAACACAACACACTGGAACACAATGCTGATTGGCATAGTGCAAAATTCTGTGTTTTATGCTACATGAATAGTAGTGATATGTAAAAAATGGGGTAAGAGATGGAACCTGTTTTGGCAAAGTTGCATTCAGATGTGAAGAGTACAGAATAGTCATGAGATCAGCTCACCTTTCCACCATATTGCTCCAACTTCTGTAAAGCAACAGTAATTTTTTCTCTAAATTTCTTGTTCATTAATCTCCTTGAAAGCTATTGGAAAAATAAAATAAAAAGGTTAGTTGCACAATATAGTACACTAGATGCAAAGAGGCTAATATAATTCTATTTTATTACTTTTAGTTTCCACAGATAAGATGAAATAAAGATGAAAAGGAACCACTTTACAGCTTGTCACTGATGTCAAAGTATGGAACTCAGTGAAGGTAAAAGGAATAAAATGTTAAGTGATGAGAAACTCTAATTCAAAGAAAGCTCAACTGTTCACCAAAAAATATTTTTTCTTTTAGCAAACAAATTTTAAAGACCTATCAACCTTATAAAAAGTAATTCTTAAAGTGTTGTCCAGATGAAAAGTTTACATATTTTTCATGTGCACTGAAAAAAATTTATTATAGTGGAAATGCTAAAAAAAAACCCCAAACAACTTCCTGCAATTTCTCCCTTTTGCACTGGACGCCTAAAAGGTCCTTGTATTTTGCTGTAAATCACACTTTGGAAGCAGGCTAAATGAAACCATGACAAGCCTGTCTGACAGAGGAACGATGTCTACAGAAGGGCTCAGTATAAAAATACTTTCCATAATCCTCCTCTAATTTTTTTTAATGAAAAATTCATTGTGCAGAATTCTCATCTGAAAGAAGTGGGAATGTTTGCTTAAGTTAATTTATTGGAACTCTCACAGATCTGTTAAAATGTTCACACTTCAAATGCAAAACTCAACATAAACTTCCCTTCAAAACACAGCCTCTATTTCACCTCAGGCTTGAAGCTGCATCTTTTTATTATTTTTATTTTCCACTATTCTCTAATTTATGTTAACAACAGTTTTTGGACCTTGCTAGAACTTTATAAGTCAACATATTATTAAGGAATTATGGACTTACACAGGGGAATATATGCAGCTTGTTTTTCATGGAACTTAAGTTGTACTTATGCAGATATTATAGTAAACGTCTCAACAAAAGTACTATAAAAATACAGATCATATTTTACTATAGCAGTAAAAACTTACATTTGTGAGTAGATGCTTAAGATGATCATTAAGAGATGGGCCAACCACAGCACTCAGTTGAACTAAAGCATCCAATCCTCTTCCAAATACTTCATCGTCTGAATGGGCCTCCAGAGGGGGAAAGAAAAATCCCATCATCGATACTCAGACAAATGCACAAGTTATTGCTAAAAATTAAAATTACTGTGTAACTGCTACTTGCTATAATGTTACAAATTTGGAAATCAAGTACGATGTAACAATATTAGTATCTAAAGGTAACATTTAAAAACCATGTATTTTTAAAGTAGAGTACAAAAGTACAGTGAAATTCTTGCCTTTCTTTTGAAACAAGGAAACTAATAATTTATGAATGATGAAAAAAAAAATTTGCAAATCAAACAGTTTACTACACCAACAATTTCAGTGCTCCCAGCATATTAGAAAGAACCCTTCAAATACTGGTATCTTGAAACTGGGAGATGACATTTTAGTTACAAATATAATGGATTCAGTACCCTGAATCTATGTAATACTTAACAGTAATTGTCTGTTGGAGAAACACAGGAGCCAATGACCTTCTGGCTCAATTAATTTAGTCCCTTGCCAGCAATGTCACCTGCAGCAATGCTCAGGCTCTTACCTACTTCTAGGGTGCTCTTTCTTGTTACTCCCATTGGAAGGTTCTCCTATACCCGAGTTCTCTAATGGTCTAGTTATTTCACTCTTCCCTTAGCAGAGAAATTGATTCACAACAATTTCTTTTGTTCTTGTACTAATACTGACCTTTATTTAAAGTTATTTTTCCACTCTGATATTTGCACCCTGAACATTTTCTTGTTAATTAGAAGTCATTGGCTGCTTGTGTAGTAGAAGGTTTAACAAGACTTTATACGAAAATAGTGCAGCAATGAAAATTAACATATGAATAACAGTAATGGGAAGAACACATAAGAATATTTTTTCTAATTTGTCTTCCAAACTGAACCAAAGATACTCATAACACACAATTCTGATCTTCTGTTACACTTCTGATCTGAGATCACAAAGAATTTTCAACCTTTCCGTGACCTCTAAAAAACCAGAAGTGAAACCCAGGTAGATTAAAGGATAGCAAGAAGCTGAACCAGAAAAGAGCTCTGAATGTTATGAAAAAAATCCAAAAGAGATTACCTTTGAGGACCATACTTTTACCTCACTTTATTTTCTGAATGAGCAGAAAACTTAAAAATGTTTAAAAAATTAAGAATATGAGCTCAGAGATTTTAACTATATTCCTCTTTTTCTCATTGGCATATTCTGTTTATCTTTGTAGCAGGTTTTGAATTTTTAAATCAGAGTATCATAGAACTGTTTAGGTTGGAAGCCAAAAGCCTATGTAATAGACTTATCTTGTTAATATTTTCCATGTAGTCCTCACCAGCACAACAAAAAAAAAAAAAAAAAAACCTAACCCAAAACAACCTGTATTAAAATATCTGCATGAAGAGTAAGACATACCAGTGCAGCCTTTAAGACTGGAACTAGACGAGGCAATAAGGGAATTGCTTTTTCAGTAGCACCATCAACCATAAGTAATTCTTTAAAGCCTTCCTTTGAAACAAACGTATAGGGATGCTTTGTTTCTCTCAGACCCTGTTGAAAATGTAAAACATGTTTGCTTAAAAGCGAGTCTTCTTTTAAACAAAAACACAGTAAAAAAGTTGCACATACCAGCAAGACGTTTAGATTTTATTACATCACTTCAAAACATAAAGTACACTAACTCCACCATGTGGAGCCACTGCAACTTTGCTCAGAGAATATTCTTAACTAAAGAACTACAAAAGGCAATGTTCTTGCCTGTCTTCATTCATACAAGATCCTCACAATTATTATTTATTTTTTTTTATTTCTCTAGAAGGTGAGTCTGAGATAGCTTGTTTAACTTGCTACAAAATGCCATTTTCAACTAAGAAATCCTGCATCCTTAACTTTGCAAGAAAATTGAGTTTACCTCTGCCAATGTTACAAGAAGAGGATCAAAGGGAACAGTTTCAGGAAGGCATTCCCATTGCAGTCTGTGCTTTACTGATCCATGCACTAACCTATATAGAAAATAAAGTTTTAGCAAATTAACATATAATAATACATAATTTATTGCTAACACTATTGACTTTTAATACATCACAAATTGGTTTGCAATGTTACTAAAATGTTGTATACATAATTTGAATATGCACTGCTGCCCTTAGTGAAATGGATAATGTTATTTAACGATGCAATTATTATAATTTCCAAATATGGTGGTTTTCAAAATTCTGCTGCCAGTCACATAGAAATCAGAAAAAAAAAAAAAAAAATTTACAGATGCCTCTCATAATGACACAGAAGATGCTCTCCTTGCAAAGTCACTTATTTTGATAAATATAAATAAACATTTTCCTCAGATAACAACTGGTAAGTGAAGTCAATTGAAACTAAAAGAAAATAATATTTGAATCCATCAGTTACTCCTAAGATACATAAAAATGCTGTGTATTAATGACTATTTTATACATGTATATTCATACATTAATGATTACTTAAATTTTTGTTATGTAATTTTGCATCCACTTACAAAACAGTAAAGTGCTTATTGACTAGGCAAATATATAATAAACAAAAGTAACTTAAAGAACCACAAACTATTAATTACTAGTAGTTTTGTTAACATGTGATATAGCTGACAACTACAGAATTGGAACGTTCAAGAAATGTTGTTATACTACTCCAGACAAAAATGACTGCAAGATGTCTACTTACTGAAGTGGCACATATTCTATTATCTTTGTTAGCAGGGAGAAGTAAACAACATTATCCAAAGAAATAAACTTCTTTCATGAAAGAGCTTTAGCAAATCTGCAAATACCTAGCTGCATTTTTTAAAAAATAGCTTTGGTATTAACACACAACATAACAAAAAAAAAAACCAAACAAAAAAACAGAACCAAAAGAAGACAATTTCAAAGACATGGAAAATTGCTTTCTGTTCTGAAAAGAGATAAGTATCAGAAATCTTTTCAGAAATGAATGGAATCAAACAGCCTAACTAAAAGATCAAACATGAAAAGATGTATTTTAATCTGTGCAATTCTACCTAACCATCACAGACTTAGTAAAAAAATAAACAAAGCCTACCCACCTGCACGGAATGCCACCTTTAGCATATATAGCAGCAAATGCAGAAGTTGGTCGAGAATAATCACCAAACTATGAGAACAGAAAACCAAAAAAAAGTATTATTTATTAATAACAATGTTTGATAACTCTTATGAATATGCTACAACTCCAGTTTACAAATAGATGGAACTTAATCATATGATTCTAAAACTAATAAAATACCCCAACCCTGCAGCTATGGGGGTGGAAAACATATCTGCTACATTTAGCAGAAAACTGCTTTTCAGAATTATCTGGCTAGGAAGTTGAGAAAATTAGTAAATAATGTAGGATCAGAGCTCTCCTACTGGAAAACCCAATATTTCTATTTTCTCTTGCAAATCTTAAATCAGAAATCTTAAATCAGAAATCTTATGGGTTATCTCCTTAATTGATTAAGGACATCTCACTTTCCTGATGCTCTTATTTTTGTTATATTGGTAACATGCAGAAGGCATGAACTCCAGTTCCATCTTGACCCAAGCAGATACAAAAGGACAGGGTGGAAAGATGTGGGAGAAACTCCAAATGTTGGGAAAGACAGTATAAGGTCACTGGAAATCAGCATCAAGGTTCACATTGGCTAAGAATCTAGGAAAAACTCACTGGAGAAGGAAACTAGCAGCTTCACAGGAGGAAAACTAGCAGCTTCACAGGAGGAAAGCCTATCCAAATTTGTCTTTTATCACCTACATGCTTCTCATGTGTACGAACTATGATATTATTTGTTAGCAAGATCATTCAACCCTACTTTTCAGATTAAACACCTTCCTTGCAAGTCTATGTGAATAAACAACTCCTTTCATCAGTCTTCTCCTGAGAACCCAAATTCTTCCCAAACTATTACATATTCACAGTACTTGCAAGTTTCAACTAATGCTCTATTTTGCTAGATTTTATGAGTTCTTGATGATCCCCAAGATGATACTTGATTCTTGGTTTCATTACATAATTGGAATTACCTCCTGTAAAGTAGCAGGTGTCAAAATTTGTAACTATACCGAATGAACTCCAACCCTTTTTAACAATTAGTTCTAAATCTCTTTTCAGGGCAAAAGCGGGCATAAAATAAAAATGCCACCATTCATGCCACAATTGTACCAAGCCCCCTTTTCTGCTTCTTTAAAAAAAGTAATAAATATATTTACTCCTCAGGCCTTTATGCTTAGAAATTAGGGAATATATGATTAATAACAAAAATTTAGTGTAATTTACACAACAGGCCCAGAAAAAGAATGTCCTGCATATATTTCATAAAGTAATGAAATTTCTTCTGACAGAAGAACTGTTAAAAACAAACAGAAAACCCATCACCTATACTTCATCCCTGGCAGTGTTCATGGCCAGGTTCAACAGACCCTCGTGTGACATGCTCTAGTGTGAGGTGTCCCGCTTATGGTAGGGGGATTGGAACCAGATGATCTTAAGATGCTTTCCAACTCAAAACATTCTATGATTCTATGATTTTATACATACCGGATCAATAGTTTTAGGGTTCAGCTTGTCACTAGGCTTTGGTTTAGTTGCAGGTTGTGGAGAATGTGGCAAAGGAGATGTCTTGCTCTTCTGTCCTGCAGTCTTTGGTTTTACTTGGATGCCTGATGACATCCTGAAAACATTGCCTTCTAGAAAAGATAAGGATTAAAAACATGTAATAATTTTCATTCTTATATGACAGAGTGTCAAGTGTTAGAATATCCAAACCTGAAGACTGGCATGAACAATCGATCAAGAAAATCTCAGTAAGTGTACTAGAAAACAAATGCTTATTCTTACATATCTTATGCAGTACATGGGATAATTACGACAGTTTTGTCACTCCATCTGTCAATACATAAATTTCCTAATCCTCCCCTTTACATCTGCACTTTGACACCTGCAGCAAAAGTGAAATTAGCTACAGTTTGCTTTTAAGGTAGCCTACAGAAATCGCAGCAGTATTACGGTGCTCAGCAGAACAGCCAGCAGTGAAATAGGTTGGTTGGGTAAAGTAACAGCAGAGGACAGTAACAATTTGAGGAATGGCCAGGATGAAGGAAGGAACAGAAGAGCAAGTGGATTCAGAACACAAAAAACAAATCAGAACCAGTAACACAAGAGAAGAGAAATGTAAAGCAGAAAAGGAAGAACACAGAAAATTAATTCTAATTCATTTAGTAAGAAGAATTAAAAATACTTTCTTAAAAATAATGCAAAAATAGCTTTCTGTATACATCCTTAAATACTGATTTAGGTATATGTATCTTCTAAATGTTAACGCACCAGTTACAGGTGTTACCATATATGTTTGTAATTGGGTTAAAATGTCCCTAATAAAAGTAACAGTCTACTGCCTTTTAACTTGCCAAGCCTGACAGTGATGAATAAACCTGGCAAGAGGTTTCCAAATGTTAATAAAATCATAAAATGTGAAAATGCTAGTTTTGCATATTGTAATGTTCAGTAATTTATGCTGCAGTGCAGTCTGGGTGGAGAAAAAAATTAGTAAATAAGAAATAACATTCCTTTCATAAACAAAAAAATGACTGTATAGAAATTAAAACAATGGGAAGCCAATTAAATAATACACACAAACAAATATTGCCACAAGGATGAGCATGGTGCTTGCCACCCAGCCATCACCTTTCCCAAACTGATGACACCTGTTTTTGTCTCCAAGATGATTACGTTCCAAACACTGAGATAAGAATGAACTAGAGTGTCTGATTTTTTTGCTATGCTGCTTCCACGCCCTCAGCTTTATAAGCCACCTGCCCTAATCTAAGGTATAAGATTCTGCCAGAATCTTATACATGCAGCCCTTGCTTAACTTCTAATTCTTCCCTCCAAAAAGAATTTCTAGTCGGTGACTAGGATTATTTCCAAATCTTTAGGATTATTTCTGTTTCTGGTAAGAAGTGATAAGGTCCCAGCACTTACGTAGTATGCTATGTCTTTACGACTTGCAAAAAGAATGAAACGTGATGTCTGTTTTTACTGAATGTTGAAAAATAACACGCAATAATGGTCACCACATTTATTTAAAAACAAAGCAAAACTAAAATTGAAAATATAAATTGATATTTCTTGATTAATTATTTGATCAGGACTAGTGATGCACATCAGTCCACCCACTGAAGACCTTGTTTGCTTTTTCCTACCATGTTCATAATAATAATTTTCTAGTGACAGTCTTTCTAAAAGAAGAACATACCACAATTAAGACAATTAAGTCTCTTCGGAGCATTCAAAAGCTTACATGACACTTATGCGAACCGTTCTGCTTGTAAAGCACAGATCATTAAACCCAGAAACAATCTGAAGCCCTAAAAGATAAACAATAACATAGGAAGAAAATTTAGTGATTTTGTAAGTGCCAGCTCATTATCACAAAACTCTAATCACACTAGTGTCAGAAAACACATTTTTAACTATCAGAAAAATAAGAATCAAAATGGCTTTACACTATAAAAACACCAGATAAATTCTTGACATTAGCATTATATATCAGGAAATAGTGCTATCAATGTCAACCTTCTCAATGTACAATTGCTCATAATGCAGTCATATTGTTATTAACAATATGTTTTTCTCAGAAAAGTATTCAGAAGTAATTCAGATGTATTCAAATTCTTTTCCAAGAAGTAATCAAGATGCATGCCAATGACTTTACTAAGATTTTAAATAATGACAAAATCTTGACGCATTTAAAAAGTTACCATCAGATAAAGTAAACAATAAAGGCCATGACAACAGGCAGGAATGATGTTAGCCCTTTGGGACAAAAGACAGGACTTGAGGACAGTGACAAGGCTTTTGTAAGAACTAAACTGAGACAACATGCCTGTGTATTGGCAGAGGAGGATGTGGCAGAGTGGAAAAAGGATTTTTCACAAGGAGGCCTTAGTCTTCATCACAAGATGAAAGTTCTTGTGTAGACAAGAGCTGGGAGAGCCACATGCATCTGTAGAGAGAGCAGGCAACAGAAATATAACTGTGAGTCAAACAACTGACACACCAGGTTTGATACAGCAGTGAACCACCCTACTGGCAGAGGACAGACTTCAAGCAGAGGACAGAAACCCTTAAACAGAAATCGAAAAGGTACCTTTAAAAAACGGCTTCCAAAGCAGGAAAAGTGCCTCCTGGAGCTTAGGTTCTAGAAGTCACTTAAGAAAGGTGGAATGAAAGTAAGTAGGATTTTAAAGGTGAGGTTGTTCCCTTACCCCGGTGTCAGCTCTGATGGAACGCAGCTAAGGCAGAGAGAGGAAGAAATAAAGGGCATTAAGCACCTACAAGAGGCTTAAAAGGCAAAGATCCGGCAGCCACCACAGAGCCGCGGCTCCGATCCTCTCCACGGGACACCAAAAGATCCAGTGAGACGCGGGATGCGCACCCCTCCTCGGGGCCCTCTCCCTTTGCCACCGCTCCCGCTCTCTCGCGGGGAAGCCTAGATGAAGGCAGCCAGAGGGGACCACCAGCCCGATGGGCAGCAGTATTCCCGATCCTTACGGCCCCTCTGAGGGCCCCCCGCTGGCCCGGCCTGGCCCGGCCGCAGGGTACCCAGACCTACGACGCTTCCTGCCAGTTGCCAGGGAAACTACGGGCCTCCGAGAGGCCAATCTTCCTCGGTAGGCCGCGCCCGCGGCGGAGGGGAGTAGCGGCACTCAGCGGTGATCAAGCACAGTGACCGCAGAGCTGATAATGGCTGCCCCGGCGGCGTGGGGTTACCCCGGCGCCGTCCTGCCTTGCTGGACGCTGTGGGTGCGAGTCTGCCGGGGCACCTCGGTTGCTAGGAAGTGCCAGGAGCTGGGGCACCGTCTTCAACTGATCAGAGTTCAGTACTTGCTGAAGAAAGAGTTAAAAATAGATAAAAAGTCTCCATATATGTTTGTGATTAGAATGGGTATGGTGCCTTTCCAGGTGACATTGCCACTCGGTTTTATCCACTGTCTTAATAGTTTCCCATTGTAAATGCAATTTGGGAAATACTTTATTTTGCTTTTTTTTTTGTGTGACAAAAGTGTGGCTTTCAGGGACAGGGCGACATTCCCATTTGTGATCCTTTTTGCTCCAATACTTAATTTTAGGTTTTTGTGTGGTTTTTTTTTTTCAGTTAACCCACTCGTATGATACTGAAATCTCTTGTCATGAATACAGTGTTTATTCATGCAACATCACACCTGAATGTGGTAAATGACCTTCCTGGTAAAAGGGCCCAAATAATTATGAGAATGCTTCCTTGCTTTCTTCAAGAGATGGGTTTATTCCTTCATGCACACAACAATAAATCTCCAAACAAGATATTTTCTTGGTTTGCTTGAATTGTGCGGGATACAAACTTTCCACCACTGCATTCTTTTTCATTTACATAATTTTTAACAAGGAACTGACTGGGACTAGGGAAGTGGATAAGAGAACCTTTTCTGTTGGTTTTCCACAAAAACCCAGAAGGGCATGCACTGACAGTGTTGAAAAGTAGTTGTTGACTATTTGAAAACTACTGTTGGCATTAGAGTTTGGCAAATGCTGGCATTTCATAATTAGTTTTCTCCAACATGAATAGTTTGTATCTGCCAGTAATGGGAAGTTGTAAGTGAGGACATTTGCAGAGTTAAAATAGGGCTGCATAACTGAGTGCCTTTGGAATGCATTAGCATAAGAGGCCTTTTGGAAATACAGAAGGAAAAAAATTATAAAAATAATGCTGGAGAAGGGAAGAGTTCTATTTTGTTTCTAAGTATTTTTAACTAAACCCAACAGACATTTTAGTACTTCCACAAAATTATTGTGTTGTTCCACAGTACTAAAGGCAATAGAGGAATGTATGTCTTTTTTTATCCGTAAACTTTACAGGCTGGTAAATGATCTTAGAAAAATCTAGTAATTCTAAGGCAGACTGTGCAAGTCTTTGAAAATCACGCTGCAAAATACAGATCAGCATGATCATCTCCATAATGAGAAAAAAAGAACTGCTTTTCTGAGCAAGGTTTATATTTAGCTCAGTGGTTTAGTATCATTTTATACGTATATCTGATGTAGTTGCTTTGGGAGTGCAGAGCAGATTACAACTACATTCAAGCGTGGAAGAAAGCAGTAGTACAATTCCTAAGTCAGTAGGAGGTATGAACTGCTGTGTTGCATGAAGCAAAATACCACTGATCAGCTCTGTGGGGTCAGCAGCTCCCACTGAGTTCCTGGAGGCACAGAAATGGCTGGGCTGTAAAAGGATGAGTTCGACTCCAGCCTCTGTGCAAGAGGAGGGCTTAGTTCAGAGTTCAATCAGTTTTCTGAAAAATGAAAAATAAAAGAGTGTTACGGTATGGTGGTGTATATGGTACAACAGAGTCTTGCTGTACATTTAATGCTAAATATACAGACTACACTGCTTGTCTTGCAGTGAGAGATGATGTGTTGCTGAATATTGCCATGGGGAATGTGGTCAAAATACTTGTAATAAAATGTTTTTGTTAAAATGCTTTTCATACTGTGTCCCACTATTTCTGACAGTTGCAATAGGATCTAGTCTATGACATTTTAAACATATTTGGTGGATGGACAGTTTAGAAGGAAAAATACTGTAAGATCTATACTGTGTATAGTTCAACAAAACATGACAAATTTTAGGTTTTTCTCCAATGTGTTGATACCACTTTGTAGTCTTAAATATGGTGTCATGAGCTGCTGTTCTTACTCTAAACTTGTGTAGCATTAGCTCCCGTTATTGTATCTCTATTATGTATTTTTTAGTTTGTTTAATTTAACTGCCATAAATCTCTCTAAATGATTGAAAGTGAGTAAAAGACAAAAATATGAATAATTTGCAAGGAGATTTTATCATTAAAAAGAAATGTGGTCACTGACATATACGTGAGTGTGTTCAGTTGTGTATATATAAATCTGAAAATGAAAGCTAACTCTGCACTGATTAGTTTTTCATAATAACAATACTAAACCAACTTAAACAGAACCAATGATTAGTTAATTATCCATTACTGCTGATAAAACCAATATGCAATTTGACTTCTTTTTTCATTAGTCACAGTTAAATAGTTAATTGCTTAGGGGGAGGAGAATTCAACAAAGCGAAATGAATTCTGAGGCTTATGAAATTAAAACTGAGGTTTTTACTGGGCTATGGCTGATTAATAGAACATCACATAAAACAGTCATGTGTTAGGTCTTTTTGTCTGAGCACACTTGTGTTTTTTTTAAGCTAATTTGTTTGGTATAGTTTAGGCTTGGCCTTTGGCCAGAGCCAGTTGGGAAATGGTGGTATTTCTTCACAAGTACAGACTTTTGGATGTGGAAGGAAGGGATTTGGTACTTGGATTTTTGTAATTTTTCTAAACCAAGTGCAATTTTAACCCCGGTTGGAGGCTAACAGCTCTTACAACCTAGTAAGAACAGTAAAATAACAAAATATGTTTCCTCAACACATCTGGTAATACTTTTTAATTTCTCCAGCAACTGAAAAGTCAGAAATTCTCACTGGTCTCTCAAAAAGTGCACATTTAAAACTCAAGTCTCTAGGAGTGTTTCCGCAGATAGTCTTCAAACACCATTCCCCAGAGCTTTTATTCTGACTTTACCACTCTGCATGCATTATAAGTAGTACCCTATAAAAAAGGAGCTATTTTACAGGGTTTGGCAATACATGTGAGCTACAGAGTAGACTGTGGATACCTAATTGTAGCTTTTAGGCTCCTCTGCAGAGATTTGGATGTTCCGGGCACTTTCATTGACAAGATATTGTCAAGGTTACCTCAGTGCCTGTGACAAATTGATAGACCCGTGAATGTTCCCTTATATCCTCAGTGAAAATTGATGAAAATAGTGCTGTTTAAGTTGAAGGATTCCAGGTAACAATCCATAGATATTACTGTATTGCTTAATATTTTTTTCCATAACACACTAGTAATTACTTGATCACCTATTGTTGAGTGCTAAATTGCTCTAAGGATTTTGGATTAGCAGATCAAAGTCCTGTGGAAAATTTGCAGGCAAACTCCCAAGAACGAGACTGATCCAAGGAATACTTTCAGGTTTTCGTATTGCAGAGTAACAAAAAAGCATACAACAATGACACCCAAATTTAGGAACTTTTCATTACTTATGAAAGTGCTTAAAGCAGCTGTGCAGTTGTTTGATTATACTTTTATTCATCTTGAACTTATGGCCGTACAAATCCAACATTCCTATCTCCTGTATTAGGTCATACTGTCAGAAGGCAAAATAGACCACTTATATCCACATATCAATGAACTGTACTGCCTCAAAAATGAAATTAGGATTAAAATTAGATATATCAGAATTTGTTTTGTTTTTTCTGATTCTTCTAAATTTTCATATTGCCATCAGTAATGGCAGTTCAGTTTGTTCTTTATTCTGGTGATGCCAATTGTTCAGGAAGAACAATTTATTCCATTACCATCTCTCAGATGGTGGCACAATCACAGCTACTTCTGTAAAAGTACTTTGCTTATTTATGGAGAAAGATCCATTTCCACAGTCAAAAAAGTAACAGTTAGGAACCTATATTTCGTTGAATCACTGGATCTAAATCCAAGTTTTATGAGATTTGATTTCCTGCTTCCCTGCTGTTCACTGGAATCTTGAGTCCTAATTTGTTTAAGGAGTCCTTACCACAAAATGTTGATAGGTAACCAACTAAGAACAAGACTCATAGAAAGTACCAAAGGTGAACAGGCAGTGGCCAGCAGTAGCTCATGGGGAACATTAACGAGAAAGCTGTGGTTTCAGAGAAAAGTAGGTGCCAAGCACTTAAGCGAAAGAAAAGAGGTAGTTGGTTATATATCTGTGAATACTTGTCTGGAGTTTACAATGCTCAAAGTGCTCAAAGCTAACAAAAAGTTTTGGAAGCAGTGCTAGAGGGCTTACTGGGTTATGGAAAACTCGGGTTCAAAAATCTGTTTTTGCATGATTCAGTGCATAGACTCGAACCCAGGCTCTCATGCCTTCTCTCAAACCTGAGGAATACAAGGTAATATATCCAAGTGTTATTCTTGGCTGCTTTAGGATCTCTCTGATTGTCCCAGAGTACCAGCTTTCATTCATTACGCTTTTGACCAAACAGGTGCAAGTACCTGTAAGTTGAAAAATAGTGAGCATAGCAATCCTGAAAGATGAACTGGTACCCAGTGTTACAGAAAATAGTAACAGGACTAGAAACAGCATGTTCTATATAAACCAGAACCTACCTTTAAAAAATGGACAAGAATATTAAAGGGTGACTACTTCATTAAAACTTTGGATGCATTGAGAAATGTTCTCCACTATTTTATATTGCAGATAGTTTTGTATGATGAGTGCCACACTACACAAATAGAAAAAAGCGAGTAAGCTGTCCTTTCTCTTCCCCCCACAGAGAATGCATTTTTCTCTTCCTGCTGATTTTTGTGAAGCTGGAATTTGCTTTTAGGCATGCAAGAAAGTTTTCATGGGATAATGTT